CTCGTTTTAAATTAAGAAAAATAACAAATCAGAAAAAACACGGCAATGAAATCGGTGTCTTTGTAATAAGTAATAACCTTGCCCAAGGTCAATTACTTTCTATACAATCGTTTTTACAGTATACGGGTGGTCCACGCTAGATTAGTGTTCACGTAAACATCTTATACGTTGTAATAGGTCATTAAACCTAGAATCTTCGTTATATAACAGTAAAACCAGCAAATAACAACGACTATGGAAATAGCTATGCTTGGTATTTCTCTGCTAGATAAAATCTGCCCCAGTAGGTTAATGTTTTTGAGTGTATTATGTATGTATATTTCTTTGGCATGCTCTTTAGCCTAAACAGCTTAATGGATTTAACCGGCAAGTAACTTGCGGTGTACAAGCACAAGGTTATACAGACATATCCTAAGGCCTTAACCTACTAATAAAGGGCGATAGCAGGTCGGTATCAGGCTTGGGTATACTGGTAGAGGCATGGTAATTGTCACATGTATACTTACGAGACGAAACGGTTTTCAAATTATATAAATAAACTGTTTATTAAATTTATACTGAAAGATAAATAATAACGTGATAAAGGCCGGCCATATAGCTCAAATAACCGACAACCGATGGGGAAAAAAGGTTCTCGAGTGGCAGCCTCGCACCGGTAAGAGAAGTATAGGACAACCCTCCATTAGATGAAGTGACAACCTTGTAAGACATACTCGAAGTCGATGGATGCAGGTGGCTCAGGACCGCGCTTTTGGCATTCCTTGGGGAGGCAAAAGGTCAGCAGTCGACTTGTGAAGGGCTGTAATGATAATGATGATAAGAGAAATATACAAATATTATATTCAAAGTCACTAAGAGTAATCTAACAAGCTAACAACACCGCATGTGTTAATCTCTGAGCTACCGGAACTTGGAACTTCAGAAATAGTAACTTCCCATATAGTGCGTGGCGAGACGCGAGTGATAACGTCCCCGCGCTTTGTCCGGCCGGATGACTTTTCACGAGAATATTGTCAGGGAAAGCTCACTTTTATCTTCATTATCTCAGTAATTTTTTAAGATAGGAAAAAAATTTAAACCGTTTTTTTGGAATTTTCACTAGTTTTGTAACAAACATATTACAAAAATCGTTGGCCTTGTCCATTCATGCATGTAATATGTTATTCTTTTAATTTTTAACAAAAGGAAAATGTAACAAACGGTAAGTTCCTTTTACTCTTCCTATTTTGATTGTCAACTTACTGTTTATGAGAATTCAGGGGACTCGATTATCTTAGCTACACTTGCCGTAGGTCAGGTCCGTGTTATTTTATCGTAATTAAATATTACAACAGTAAATAAATGTCTAGAGCGACGGACGGACAAATAACCTGTCAACGCGTACAGGCGATAAAATGCATGGAGGCGCATATCAGCTGTTGTGTGAATCACTGGCGGACCATGTCTATCTAATGCCATTAAAATAAATCGATATAACTGTATAGTAAGTAAAAAGATGTATTGAATAATAAGGTATAGAAGTTTAAATATACTATTTCGTTGGCTTATTAAAATTACTTTAAAGGATGTTTGTAAATATAATCTGGTATTTAGGGATCCATAGAGTACGATTCTTCAGTTGTTGCGTGTGCGTGTGCGTGCGTGAGTACATGCGTGCGTGCATGCGTGAATGTGTGCGTGCGTGACTGCGTACGTGCGTGCGTGCGTGCGTGCGTGTTGTGTGTCTCCAAACAAACTTCATACATAACGAATACTTGATCAAGTTTTCATTGAAATACATTATATTATTTTACTAAACAAGAATTATCAGTTAATAATAAATACCCTGTTGAACTTAGGTTATTTATAACAGAGTCAAATGCTGTGAGGATTACCAAGCTCGACAGGCAATTCGGCAATTGCAATACGAGAGGTATTTCAGAACCTCTTAGAAAACTAGTTGCGTAGTGTAGTTTGGAAGACACAAATATTTCAATTTCTTATCAAGTTTAACTGCAGTGTTAGTATGTTGGCATGCTTAAACAATATACGACTTAATGATTGCGAATTTAGAACCCGTAAATCCTATAAGCTTGCTTTGTCATATTCATTCCAATGTTACGTCATACTGTACGCCATGTATGTATGCAAATGTAAAAAAAAATTTGCATCACAAAAGCAATACGATCGCAAATGGTATGTACTAGTGACGCCGACTGCTTCGATGTTCTATAAATGGTTGCATATAACACACACAATTGAAAGTATCCTTTGTGGTGAGGGTGCTGCCATTCGAATCTTGGTCTAATTGGACGATAGCCAGGATGATTTGTCGCTGAATATGGCAATAGTATGAACTAAGTTTACTGTGACGTATGGTCTAAGTTAAGAGGATTTAAAAATAATTACTAGAATCAGACGTTACTTAGCAGAAATCCAATATACTAAATATATTAAAAGCAATATTATATTGCAACCATTCGCTCAATAAAATAAAATGATGTGTCTTACCTAGTTTGAAGAGCACCTCCCGCCCTCCCTCAGTTGCGTGCACTAATCCCGTCACCACCAATCCCAGCACCACTACTGCCCATACCACTACTCTTAACACCACTACTCCCAACACCACTACTCTGGGAAAGACACACCATCGACTATAATACGACACACGTTTCGCCTCTACACGAGGTATCTTCATGTGATGTAGACTATGCGGTGGCTGACTGCTAAGTAAGATTTAGATCATTTACACAAGCAGCATAGAGGATATCTCTCCATCGCTTCTATTGAAATGAATTTTTTTTTTCAAATTTCAATAGCCTTGAAAAATCATCCTTGGAAGGAATCTGTGTTCTTTTGCAGGATTAGTGGTGTGTCGTATCTATAGTGATGGTGGTAAAATTCACAGACTGCAGATTTCCCGGGTCAGCTATATTTTCTATTTTATTTTCTCCCAACAAGTTTCACGTTACCCCAGAAACGTCTTTTTGTAGACTTACGTAACGTACATCCCCTTTTCGAAATATGTAGTAATATAAGTAGTAAGTAGTAATATACAATAAACCCGCAAAACCCCACACTTTTATTGTTTTATCACATCATTGTTTCTAATGAATATTTAAAGTGAAATTCTTTGCTCTTGCAAATATTTAATGTTTCGTATAGCGCTCTCTACGTAACATTAAATATTTTATTATTACGAGAGCCGTGGTAGCTCAGATGGTTAACGCTCGCTGCAAATATAACAGACTGCGAGTAAACTGGGTTCGATTCGCACCGGCACCAATGAAATTGTTAACTGCAATTTTAAGTGCTGATTTACAACGTGCTCGCCGGTGAAGGAAAACATCGTGAGGAAACCTGCATGACTGAGGAATAAGAAAAAAAATTGTTTCGAAGACATGTTAAGTTCGCCAACACGCATTGGGGCAGCGCGGCGGACACTTCCTTGCCCTAAAACCCTCTCCGAAATGAGGGGAGGCCTGTGCCCAGCAGTGGGACGTGTATAGGCTGTAACTTTACTTTTTTACTTTTTATAGCGCTCTCTTAATCGCCAAAATGGCGATAGTATGATGAAACTGCAGAGTGATAACGTACGTGATACAGTGCAATGTGATTGTACTTTGAGAATGGATTTATTTCAAAAAATTTTTAAACAAACGCAGCAAAACGTATTTGATTACACACTCTTTTCTCAGTTATGCATTCACATTATACAAATAATAAATAAAGTTAATTTTGTGTCATTTGTGGTTACAATTTTTTTTATTTTTTCTCTTGAATATTCGTTTAGTTTACATAGTTGGCATACATTATAAATAGTAAGCCTCTAACTATATTAATCCAGTTTAATTGCGATATTTCAATTAGTTATATATGTATGTGAACTTGTAAGGCCCGATTTACATTTTGAGAAGTGACAAGTGCGAGTGGCAAGTGCATATGACAGTGTTAGTGCGAATTTTATTCCCACTTATCACTTGTGTAATAAAATAGGTGGGAATAAAATTCGCACGAAGCACTTGTCATATGCACTTGCCACTCGCACTAGTCACTTTTCGAAACGTAAACCGGGCCTAAGTCTACGAGTTTGCACATTCAGTTTGTTTTCCAAGCAAATATAATTTACAAAATAATATTCTCTCAATCAATTAAGACCACAGCGAGATATCTTAAAATTTGCTGTCCTAGTTCAATTATCAAGAAAAGTTTATCTAATTGTTAACTCATCCACCATATTACCTAATTTAATCTAAATGAAAACATAAATAATCTCCGGTGGCTTACGCCACGTTGCGCCGGAAATGTGGCTGTTCGCTCCTAGCTATTGTTATTGTAATTCAGTATTGCGTGCGGTGACGAGGCATCATTCCTGCAGTCTGTCGCCGGACATAGCCGGGTATCTTTCCTCGACGCGGTTAGCTGAAAATGTTGCTAATTTGTTGCATTACGAGGCGTTACGATCCGTTTACTCATGTCTATCAACGTTGTTAGACATCGACATTGTAATTTTAAAGAAGTCTCTAATCGAAAAGTGATTTCGCTGATCGATTTTTTATCTGAGAATCCATGATTTGTGAAAATTGAATAAAAATTGAATAAATAATACTCTAATGTATCCTTGGAATGTGCTAAACTGACTAGATCTTTACATCTAGTGTTTTGGTTCAAAAATGTCCTTTCCTCTTCGTTTTTGATCTTTATAATACAAACTTTTAGTATTCTTGTCAATTTATCCTATTACTGTTCTATTAACGACAAATATTTAATGGAACTTGAGTAATAAGCGTGAAAATAAGTTGAGCTCGTTAAGTTCCCAGAACCGTGCTTTGTTGCATTAAAATAGTTGTGAAAATAAGTTAAATTTAAAAATTACAAAGTGTGTTACAGTTTATAAAGTTATGAATTAGTATTGTGAGTGCTACTGTGGTTTACCTCATGGCTTATCTTCGTAATTGCGTCTTTTGTGAACGGCTGTAACTAGCTGTAAATAAATTTCTGTTGTTGTTGTGGTTGAGAAAATGGTTGTATGGTACGTGACGGAACAGTGTCAGAGTAAGGTAATTATATTTTGCAGATTTTTATTCCAGCATCTAGTATTCACCATGATGATTATCATAGTCAATATTAGATGGTGCTCGTTTAACAACAAACAGTATTCGTTTTAATATGCAATGGAATAAAATTAATTTACTTTTTATTAATATTATTATTGGGGTATCTATATAATTTTCTCACCTGGTTGGGTTCTATAAATATATAATTATAAATTAAAATGAAAAGATAAATATACATAAATATCAATAAAATAAAATAAATACAAAATAAATACAAAACCTACATAAATAAATAAGATCCAACCAGATGGGAGCCCTCGGCAGGGGAGACCAGACGGCCGAGGGTTAGGGGGAAAGGTAAAGAAACCGGCGGACGATGCGGGCGGTATCGAGGAGCACCACCTTCTGCATTTGAGCCTGGAGCGGTCTGTCACGGAGTACCAGGCGCCTCAGATGACCCGAGAGGCTGACTGGGATTAGCCCATTCGCAGAGACGACTACAGGAATAATTTCGGTCGGCATACCACCCCACATGTCGGTCACCTCGTGAGCCAGGTCCAGATATTTTGTTCGTTTCTCTGTTTTGGCTTTCATTATTATTATTATTATTCTCGGATGATACAAGTATTCTGTTCAAATAAAAAGAAACCGATGCTTCTTACCCTGTCTGTCATGCTGCAGCTATATTATGACAGTAGCGCGAGTGGGTCGGCTCGATCGGGGAAGGACCACGCTCTCACAAAATACCACCGTAAAAGAGTAGCTTCATGCTGATGTGTTTCGTATGGTGCGTGTAAAGAACCGAAGACCCATTTTACTGGAAACGAGGTATTCCGTCTTAATCCTCATGATGATATATGTAGATGTCAATGGGCCACAGTAACCACTTACCATCAGGTGGACTGTATGCTAGTTTGTCACGCTATCCTATAAAAAAAATATTAAAACAACTTCACGTTGTTTTAAGTCCATAGGAAGTCTACTGTCAGTTCCCACTCATGGCAACAGATTGGCGATGTCGCACCACACGCCTCGTACCGTATACGTAACAAAGTAACAACAGTCATTTTAGGTGTATCATAATTGAGCTTTTTCGTTGACTCGCCTCATTGGTCTAGTGTGCAACTGTAAATTATGTGACCATGGATTCGAATCCCAGATCAGAGCAGAATTAGTTTTTGGGTTTCTCTCAAGAAATTCTCAGTAGCAGTCTAAAGTCAGGAAGTTGACGGTTTTTCAAACCCCACCCCCTTCCCCGTGCCTCAAAAACAATAGCAGTTAGTCCTACGGCTGATCTCTCTACGTACGCGTCGGGATCCCATCTCATCGGACTCTGTGAGTGAAGAAATTGAGAGTGCACCTGTGTTGCCCATACCACTCGTGCTCTATATTTCCGTCCTACGCATATGAGCACACAGTCCACCTGATTATAAGGGGATGCTGTGCCCCTCTATCCTCGATTACGAATCAAAATGCGAATGTCACCCGTGAGGACTAAGATTGAATGCCTCGTTTCCAGTAACAAAGAGTCCCGGTTCTCTGCACTCATACGAAACACAGCAGCATTAAGCTACTATTTCACGCTGGTATTCTGTGAGAGCGAGGGCCTTTCCCGATCGAGCCGACCGATTCGTGCTGCAACTGTACTACTAAAATAGCTGCAGCATGGTACCATGTAAACGAAGTTGTCTCATTTGAGACTGGCTGCTATGACTAAAATCCTCCGACATATCCGATATATATGTCGGGAGTTAAGGTCATAGGAAACTATCTTCCTCTAGATCTAGAAGGTACGCACACGACACTCGGACCTAAAGTGTTCAACCTACGCTACTATTATTATGTATTGGCTACATTTTTATCATCTGGTAGTTTTGTAAGAAATATAGCAGACCCTATAACACGAGAACAACTTTTATTCTAACGCTTGTAAAGACCGCAAACACGCAAAAGGTATGTAAGATTAAGGTTCGTGTACGGAATAATGACAACTTTCTAACAAATTATTATGAAATCATCTTGCACGTTCTCATAGTGCTATTTGTTTAGCAAAAGAGTAGTTTTCTTTAAAAATGTACTGTTACACTAGGAATTACATGTAACGTAATTAACGCACACCCTCAGACACCCCAATTAGTATATTATGTTATAATCATAAAACATACACTGAATTTTTAGTTAAACATGTTTATGCGTTGATTATTTATTAAATTAGTTATACTAATTCCGGAAGAATATTGTGTTCACATTACAAATCCAAGAATGCAAAGACTTTAACGCGCTTGAAATATGGTTCATTTTTCTTTATTTTGTATTGAATGACGGAATTTTTATTAATACAAATAAAACTGCACTCTTAAAAGTCTTACTGCCTTGAGTTACAGTCTATTTCATTTTGTTTTGACTGTACCTACAGGTTTAGTGTGTATTTCAAATATTTTTGGGATAAAAAATTTAAAAGTGATAGAAATCGATTTAGTAATCGATTCTGAACAAACTACTTTCAGGAAGCGCGTTAACTATGTTACATGTTACAGGCGAGTTTAACAAGCTAAATTGCATACGGACAAACAACCAGCCACCGCGTTGTGGCGGTTTAACAATTGTTAATTACTACATATCGTATCGTGGGCGTCATTAGGGGCCACAGAAGGTAAACAAACCAGGACATGGGCAGCAGCGCCATCCAACAAGCCTACAAGTAGCAAATAAAAACCGTGGTTGCCAACCTACCTGCCAAGCATGGCAAAGTGGCAAATATGTGGCATATATTCAATGGTGGACTCTTAATATAATAAACTCGCGTGTTGGTAATGTTATAGAACTGGATCAGTTAATTGTAGACCTGATAAATACTTCCTCAGTGCGGAATGCAACAAAAATATGGTACGTGATACACTTGCCAACAAATTGATTTGTTGCAAATAATGCGCCTACAAATCTGTAACGGGAAAATTGAGTACTTTGTACTCAAACCTACATATTTATTTATAATTTAATTAACAATTCTCCGAAAGCGGATGCCCTCAATTGTCGACGAAGCGTAAATACACAATATTATTGCGAGTTTTTTATAATAAAATTTCACTAAGCATTATAACTCCTCTGCCTAGAACTTCTAGCCATCAGTTGGTATAACCATCTTAGTCCTTAGAGGTGACAACACATCTGTTGTTCTGTCTTTGGTTGTATTTGGCACCATGTATCCACGGGCTGCAGTCAGGTATGCCAGATCGGTAGACTGGCATACCTGACTGCAGCCCGTGGAGCCGTGGAGAGTATCTGGACAAATTTTGGAAATATCGGGATTTTGGAATTGTTGTCGGGAAAAATATATATTAAAAATAAAAAGTTTTTTTTTTTAAATTAAGTGGCTACAAAAGGACTTAACATTTTTGACTCATAACTAGTCTAAGTTCATTTATTTTTTAGGTTACCATGTGTATTTGGCATTGGACTTTAGATTTAGAGTCCACTAATTTGGATCCTTTAGTAGTATTCAGAAAAGATTTAAAATTTAAACAATTTACTTCCTAATTCACAAGTGTGACTTGACATCCACTAGTTAGGTTAACTGTAAGTTCGTTTATCACTTTGGTTTTCTATAAAAAAATGTTTCATAAATGAAAGATTATTGCATAATACTTCATAGCGCTAGTGATGATGGTGTTAAAGCTACTTTATAGCTTTAGAATGCTGATATACTTACAGGGATTTGTAAAGCTTTTTCTCAAAATGCCAACGTCATTACTCATTACCAAATACATCGCCACAAGTGTTGTTGCAAGTCTTGCATTTTAACATTTGCGCGTTTGTTCGTGCTAACGTGGTACAGTCACGCTTTAATTTACGATTACAGATTCTTCCCACTCTTAAACACGTGTGTATTACGTCTGTATAAATACACTCCGGGAATTTCTGGAATGTCTGGATGTTCGTAAATTGTACTAACTCAAAGTTTATTTATAGTTTAATTGTAATAAATATCACAGTCTTTGTCTTTTATGATCAGCGTTTCTTTACAATTGGTTCGTGACATTCCTTAGTCAAAACTGAAGTGTACGTTGATAAAATGTGCCTTTGTATTCGGAAGTTATTTCATTTTTAAATCGAAATATGTAATGAAAACACCTGTTTTTGGTGTTTACAATCCTAAGCACTTTGGTTTTTAGCTGACTTGTGACTGAAAAAGTAAGTAGTAACAATTCGACTGTTTTTTTGTACGCGTATTACGCTATATCTTCGTCAATAACCGATTTTGATAATTTTTTTTTATTAAATAGACCATATAAATATGGAGAAAAAATTCTACCCCTACGGGTGGAGGATTGGGATAAAGAATGAAGTTTTTAATGGAAATATTTAGGGGACATTGTGATATTATATTGTGATATTATGATATTATATAATCAACTGAAAAGCGCTATAAATAAGTTTTGATGAAAGTAAAAGCCGATCTAGAAAAGAATATAATATAAATATCTATATATGGTAGAGCCACGCTGCAGCTATATTAGTAGTATAGTTGTAGCACGAATGGGTCGGCTCGACCGGGGAAGGACCACGCTCTCACAGAATACCAGCGTAAAATAGTAGCTTAATGCTGCTATGGTTCGTATGGTGAGTGTTGAGAACTATGAGAACCCGAGAAAGTGGACAGTGTGCTCGTTTGTCACCTTATCCTATAAAAATATATATGATGGTTGAACATTCTGAAGTCAGGGCATTAGTTTTTCTATAAAACATGCCTTCAGAATGTGAAATTATTTTACTTATTCCTTTTATTCATTAGAGCTAAATTTTTGGTTTCAAAAAGAAAACCCGGACAAGTTATATTTTTATGTAATAAGAGTGAAAAGCAAGCGCACATTTACCTGGTTAAGTGGATGCTGTGGCTCACCTATTCTCAATTAAGAATTAAAATGCAGAATGCATCTGCATTCTTTGTCACCCCCTGAGGACTGAGATGAAATGCCTCGCAATCACTGAAAACTCTGTATCATCAAATTGAGTGATAAAAGTTTATTGAATTTATGTTAATATATATATATATATATATATATATATATATATATATATATATATATATATATAATATTAGTCTACTTTTATATATAATCCTTTATTAAGGTGCAATAAAGTGTAATTAAATAAATAAATAACCTCTTATCGTAGACCAGACTAGAAATAGATGACTCCCATAGTTTGAAGCGACAGTAGCCTAGTGGCGGGGCGCGGACCGCGAACTTAAAAGGTCGCGGGTTCGTATCTACCATTCGACTACTGTCGTGAACCACTCCTAACACAAGCATTTTTAAGCTTATCAGGAGTGGTTAAAGGGAATATTAGTAATGTTAATTAATAGGATTACTAATATTTTTTATTAAAAAAAAGTAGCGAATGTTTTGTCGTAAAGGTCACGACTGGCAGGCGGTTTAGAATTGACTTTGCAATTAAAATAATGACAAACGAGCACACAGTCCATCTGATGGTAAGTGGTTGTTGTGGCCCATAGACATCTACATTTATCCTCTACTTTGTACTCTGTTGCACTAAGATAAAATGCTTCGTTTCCAGTAAAAAGAGTCTCCGTTTCTCTACACTCACCGCACGAAACACAGCAGCATTAAGCTGCTATTTTATGCTGAATTTCTGTGATAGCGTGATCTTCCTCGTTTAGCCGGCCCATTCGTGCTACATCCATAATATAACTGCAGCGTAACTCTACCACGTATAAAAATACTCTAACGTTACCTAAATAACGTATAAGATCTATCCTCTTCACATCAAATCACTCTAACATTCGAAATGAGTCATTCACAAAATTTTGGGTTCAGATTAGAGAAATAAGTCTATTTAGATTTCTTAATTTCGACGACATCTTTGACTCCACTCTGTTATTTTGGAACTTGCTTCATAAAGCTTAGCATACCTTTATTATCTTTATGACTTAAACAGTATAATATCAACAACCGGGTTGTTTTTAGTATCACCTAAACATTTAACATGCTTTGAGTTTTTCTTCTCTAAAATTATATTTCGCTAAGCTCTTGAGAGAAAAATTTCACTGATAGTAACATCTAACTTTATTTTTTATAGAAAACATTCATGCATTTATTCAGAGTAGTACCTAGTTAATAACTCTTCAGCTAAATATACGACTGCCCCGAGTAAAGCCACAAAATGTACTATAAACATACATAATGTTATGTTTAGAGGTTAAATCTATTAATTAAATACATAATTCAAGCAAATTGTTGATATTAAATATTTACAGAAAATTATAATGAAAATGTTAAATCCGTAAGTTATTTGTAAATAAAACTGCCGTAATATATTGTAATAATAACATGGTATTATTAATTATATCTATATATGTGTTAAAGATTTTGATTATTTAATAAATATAGTCAAGACTTAATTAATATTGTTTACTTGAAAAAGGTAGTCTATGGAATACAAATGTACGAGTATTTAAAATAATTTGAAGATCTTATTGAAATTTACCCGTAGACATGCAATAAACATTTTTGATTATATTTGATTTGAAACTACAGTCTTGCTCGGCCTGCATCAACAACTTTTTGCTGATCTAACCAGATTACTGCACTAGATGGTGTAACAGTGCAGTCACCATTCGCTACAGCGTTACTCTAAAACTATATTGCTTCACCTATTTTGAATGAACCTTATACTCTTTCCTTTATTACCCCGACTGTCCCAGAGGGAGGATGTATGTATGTATGTCCATGACTCTTGTTATCGTATGAATTTAACATATGAGGTGTCGTTAGATTAGTCTTAATTGTAGGAGTGATGATCATCATCATTATCATCATTGCAGCCCTTCGCAAGTCCACTGCTGAACGCAGGCTACCCAGGCATGCCAAAAAGCACGTTCCTGAGCCACTTGCATCCATCGACTTCCTGCATATCTTACCAGGTCGTCACTCCATCCAGGGGGGGGGGTCGCGGTACACTAAGCCTACCGGTACGAAGCTGCCATTCGAGAACTTTTTCCCCATCGGTTGTCGGTTCTATGAGCTATATGGCCGGCCCATTGCCACTTTAGCTTACTAATCGGTTGAGCTATGTCGGTCACTCTGGTTCTACTGCGGATATCCTCATTTCTAAGTTTATCGTGCACAGAAACCCCATGGGTTGTATAATATGTATATATTGCATCTGCAAATACAAAAAAGGGAAGGACATGTTTTTATTTCTGTAAACTTTTTAACGCAGTCTGAGTTTTTTAATTACTGTAGAGGGACACAGTAGTTATTATACATACCTTTTGCTGAATTGACCCTTTGCACTTGTGTCTGGAGTCTCCGGAGCTCCGGAGTGCGCTCGGCGGCTAACGCCAGTCGTTCCCCGTCACTGTCCACGTCAAGCCGCTGCCAAATGTGAAACATTATTGTGTCGTCAATACCAATATCTTTATCTGTGAACTTGTGGATTCCGAACAGAAACATCAGTGACATTTGTGGCTTTTATTACTGAACCCGATGGACACCTTCTGTGAATTATGATGCGGGACTGTTAGGCGTAAGTAACTAGTACCTACACGCACGTACATTGTTAAGGATAACGCCCGTACAACTGTTTTAACCATCAAGCTTGTTTCGAACTTTCTTTAAATTCCTTATTGTATGTTCCCATAATCGACTTCGATATTTTTTTTGAACGGAGAGAGGGTTCACAGGTCAGCGCACCTCTGAAACCTCTCTCAGTTACGTCGTGCCGTTCAGTTCTCCCACGGTATCAGTTCGATGAAATCTCCGAACAATACGGCCGTGCATTTTACCCGTAAACGCTCGCCGACTTTTAGATCGCTCTGAGATTCGAGACAGCAATAAATTATGATGGTTTACGACAGCCGATGCAAATCTTCGTTGAATTGTGAAAATCGTTGAGGTCATCTGGAGGGGATTACTTATTCGTGGGTGGATAAGAGTTTTTCGATAGTAAAGTGTTTTTTCTACTGTGTGATGGCGTTTTAAGAGAATCCATTGTCCCATTTCGTCCGGTGGGTGTCGTAAAGGATGACTAGATAAATCTCCTGGCATCCGATAGAGAACCTTTTCACTGGAAACGAGGCATTTCATCTAATTCCTCAGGGGTGACAACGATGTCTATGGGTCACAGCATCCACTTACCATCAGGTGGATTGTTTACTCGTTTGTCACCCTTATTCTATAAAAAAAAGATGGCGGCGGATCTTATTAACGCCGGACATCTTGTACTACGATTGTCTATTCTACTTCGAAGCCTGACGATTAATTTAAAATTCTACGAAAGAGGCGCTTGTCCAGCAGCGGGCTTAAACGTGTTGGTGATGAAGAAGATGAAGAAAGTTTTCTTTATCGTGAAAAAATCTACTCAATATAATTTTTATATGTGGTAGAGCCATGCTGCAGTTATATTAGTAGTATAGTTGTAGCACGAATGGGTCGGCTCGACCGGGGAAGGACCGCGCTCTCACGGAATACCAGCGTCAAATAGTAGCTTAATGCTGCTGTGTTTCGTATGGTGAGTGTAGAGAACCGGTGACCCTTTTTACTGGCAACGAGGTATTCCATCTTAGTCCTCACGGATGACAACGAATCTGCATTTTGATTCATAATCGAGAACAGATGTAGATGTCTCTGGGCCACAGCAACCACTTACTATTAGGTGGACTGTGTGCTCGTTTGTCGCCCTATCCTATAAAAAAATAAAAGTTAAATAAATATAATACATGCATAAGAGAAGTAATGAGAAAAGACCTCCATTTAAGTTAGTGAATAAAACCAGCTGAATTGATTTTATCGCGTATAAAATTAACTTATTTTTACAACTAAGTGCATTACAACATTTTAGTCAACCTAATGACTTATGACTGTGGCTTGATTAAATTATGTTAGCTTGCGCTACATTATGTCAAACGTTACTGTTATCTTAAAGTACCTAATTAATACAGCTCTTTAATGCCTGTTATAAAATATTTTTTGAGATTTGATTTCTGTCCGATATTTTAACTTAAATGTATTTTGTATCGGACTATTTTCAGCAAATATAGGACTAGGATAATATCTAGAATTATTTTACTCAATTTGACATCCAAAGCGCGTATTTTGCTTTTAGACAGAAAAATTATATTTATTCAGGTCATGATATCTCTGTGAAAAAGTTCAGCAATCTGAAATAACAACTAGCCGTGTGTCGATGAGTCGACGATGTGTCGACCTCCGGACGTACCATAAGAAACGAAGACTCACCATTTCTTCTAACTTCATGCACGTTCTGGGCAGAGCATTATCTATATCAAAAGAAACATTGTACAGGTGTAACACTCGTTATTCGGAATCCTTATTACGTTATAAAGTCAAAAATCAGAATGACAGGACTTTGGTATTCACTTAACCAAGAAGATGCCTATAAACAAACATTTAATAATAAATTAAAGGATGCATGGTGTTAAGTTAGTATAATTAACCCTTTATTCATGTTGTGTAAGGTTTAATGTGGCTTGTTTACAGAGCGAGCAGACGTCGCCGTTCCGGCGCTGGACGACCGGCAGCGGCGCCGGCAGCTCATACCGGCAACACGATCATCGCAACATATACAGTAAGGTCAGTCAAATACTCGGTAGGGAGGCGAGCTAAGAGGCTTATTGGTAATGAATGGTAATAGTGTCCTCCAGACCGAGTTTCTGTCACGGCAGCTGGTCGCATCTGAACGATCTGTGCAGGATAAGATTATAGTGTAAGGTGTATAGTTGGGTTTGCCAGATCGGTAGACCAAAATATCTGGGCAAATTTTGAAAAAGTCGGCATTTAGGGGTTGTTGTCGGAAGAAATGAATATTAAAATAAAAAGTTTATTTTTTTTAAGTAAGAGTTTACAAAAATTAATATTAATAAAATTAATTTAAGTACACTTAATATTTAGATTGCTAAATGTATTTGGCATTGGACTTTACTAGAGTCCGCCAATTTAGATCCTTTAGTAGTATTCAGAAAATATTTACAATTCAAACAATTTACTTCATACATTAACTTTCCGAGGATCTGTTTCTCCGGAGATTTTGAGTTTTGTCGGGAGTCTGGAGATCATTTAAAATGTAGGAAGAATCCAGATGAATCCCGACCATCTGGCAACCCTATGTATGGTACACCCCGGGTTTCTGATAACGTCACACATCGATGATTATTAGGGAAAACGTTGTTAGCTATGAGCTGAAAAGCAGGAGACGCCGTCGGTGGAATAGAGAGGGGTGTTTATCTGTAAACCTGCGCGCTGCTTTTACGTGTGTATACTTAAACTACTGGGTGGTATAAAACATTTTCTTCCTAGGATGGTACCACCATTTTTGTATGTATTTACTGCTGTATGTTTTTTTAATGTGTGTCCTCAGAACATTTTTCTAGGTGAAACTATTTTAATGATTTTTTTTTATTTCAAAGCCGGTGCTTCCCGTTGTGGTCCCATATAAATCTAATTAGTAGTAGACCAGTAGTTTTTAAGTTATCCTTAATAATGCATTGTATTATTAAGGAATGATTTAGGATGTTTAAAGATAAAAATGCATTAATTTTATTTATGTTGAAGTCGGTTGTACAAAATGTTTAATTTTACCACTTGTATCGATTACTGTCCCTGAACACTGACACACCCTCTGCTGACATCACCAGGTGAACTGTTAGTTTGTTTGTCGCGTATATAATCAGAGTAAAGAATACTACTCATGTATTATAAAAATTGTCAAAAGCTTATAGTATATGTCTCTATCTTATCTCTGATTTAAAAAAAAACCGTAAAGTTATCATTTATGCAATGGTACTTGAATGTTAAATAGTGTATATTTTTTTTACCTCCTTATTTTTACATAGAGAAATGCCTACGTATACCCGCCTCGCGGGGGCAACTACAGGTGATGTCGGACCCTCACCCACTAAAACCCCATGGTGTTCTACCTTCGCCGCATATGGGCAATCCTAAGTTAATCTCATCGTATTTACGTAAGTGTTGGTGGTGTGTGCAGCAAATGAGCGAGGGTGGGAGTGGTGTGAGCGGTGCGAGCGGAGGAGTGGCGCGCTGGTCGCTGGGCCTGGAGCAGCTGCTGGCGGACCCCGCCGGCGCTGCTGCCTTTGCGCATTTCCTCGCCAAGGAATTCGCCGCAGAAAATATTAGGTGAGTCAATTGTTACGTTTGTATTCTTTAACTTTTTAATTGTCAACAATTTAGGGGTCTAATAACAAAGGCGGCAAAGTCCCATATAATGATATGGGACTTTGACGCCTTTGTTATTAGACCCCTGAATTATTGTTTTTATTTATCAGTGTATAATGGATGACTTTTTTACAGTCTGCAAAAAAATAGGGTGTAACGTGTGAACGGAGTAGAATTAAATAAATAAATTAATTAAAACCTATCGAAATTCAAATCATATCCACCCTTTTTTTATAGAAGAGGGGGCAAACGAGCATACGGTTCACTTGATATTAAGTGACTACCGCAGCCCATAAACAACCACAACACCATGGGAATTGCAGGTAAACTCTTTAGGTCGTATCGGTCCGGGAAAATTCGGTGGTAAGCTATTCCACAGAGAGGTCGTACGCGAAAGAAAACTTGTGAAACGTACAGTGGTGGACCGCCGAGCATTCAGATGGTGTAGATGGTATCGGGAGGTTTACCGCGTAGTGCCTTCGTGAAATTTCTGCGGCTGGGATTAATCCGAACAATTCCTCAGAGCACTCCCCGTGATAGATGCGATAAAATACGGAAAGAGATGCAACATCTCTTCGCAACGCCAGTGAATCGAGCCGATCGGAGAGCACTCGGTCGTCGACGATTCAAACGGCTCTGCGCTGGATGCGGTCAAGTGGAAGGAGCTGGCACTGGGGAGCCCCAGCCCAGAGATGGGAACAGTATTCCATGTGCGGACGAACCTGCGCCTTGTAAAGTTGCAGACGGTGTGCCGTCAAAACTTAAAACAAACAAAACCCTACTTTACGAACGGCAATAAAACAATAAATAGGCATCTTTGACCTTATCACTTAGCAGGGTCACAGGCTCAAGGGCAAAGTAATTGTCCAAAAAATTTGTTTTCAAACGCTTAATTCTAAATTTTTGTATTTATTTTTTTGTAAAATGTCAGTGCCATAGGCTTCTACTCCATTTACATGTTACACCCTATTTTTTCCAGATTGTAAAAAAGGTCACCAGTATATGTATGAGTATGATACGCGATATCTCCGTCAATTTTGAAAAGTTTTTGAGGTTTCTTTTTTTATTTAATAAATTATATTTCAGGGATGGATATAATAAATTTAGAGAAAATATTTCACACCTATAGGTGGCAAATGGGGGGGGGGGGGATAAAAATTTTAACGAAACTATTTAGACGACATTAAGATTGTAATAATCGATAGTCCGCTCAAAGGGGTAACAAATTAGCTTTTGAAAGCCGTAGGTTAGAGTTTAAACTCGAGATTTCCCTTGAATACGGGCTAAAGGGCCCGATGAAGGATTCCGCAATTTTTCTGTCATTAGGACAGCGTAACTTTGAAATGAGCTGAATAGACAGATAAATTGTTAGAAAATTGAAAGTTATTTTTTTAATATTAGGTATGTTTTGTTTAGTTTAGAAATGGATAAACCTATTTTTTTTAATAGAATAAGGGTGACAAACGAGTACACAGTCCACCTGATGGTAAGTGGATGCTGTGGCCCATAGACATCTACATTTATCCTCGATCAAGAATCTAAACACAGATGCGTTGTCACCTCTGAGGACTAAGATGGAATGCCTCGTTTCCAGTAAAAAAGTGTCTCTGGATCTCTACACTCACCATACGATACACAGCAGTATTAATCTGCTATTTTACGCTGTTATTCTGTGAGAGCGTGATCCTTCCCCGGTCGATTCGACCCATTCGTGCTACAATCATAATATAGCAGCGTGGCTATACCACGTATAAAATCTCGGATCTAATCACGGATACTCTTATATTAGAAGAATTTAAAAAAAAATGTGAAAATAAAAGAGCACACCACTGGGGATTTGTTTTGTCCTATATACACCAGAAACCGTAAAACTTAAAATGCAACTTTTCAATGATTAAGACACTGTTTGACTATCTGTCACAATAAGTCCCTTAGTCCCAACTAGTATCACTAGTCTATTTATTTTTTTCAAAAGAAGGGTACTTAGCATGCGGCTTACTTGATGGTAAATGACTACCGCCGCCCATGAGCAAGTGCAACTCCAGGGGATTCACAGGTCTGTGGGGTAGAAAAGAGTAAGCTCTTCCCATAAAGTTCATACGTGGTAGAGCCACGCTGCAGCTATATTATGGTTGTAGCACGAATGGGTCGTCTCGACCGGGGAGGCACTACGCTCTCGCAGAGTACTAGTTTAAAATAGCAGCTCAATGCTGCTGTTTTGTATGGTGAGTGTATAGAATCGGAGACCTTTCTTACTGGAAACGAGCTATTTCATCTTAGTCCTCAGGGGTGACAACGCATCTGCGTTTAGATTCTTTATCGAGGATAAATGTAGATGTCTATGGGCCACAGCATCAATTTACCATCAGATGAAATGGGTGACCGATTGTCGTCCTTATTCTATAAAAAAAGTCTTCAAGTAGTATCGGCGAGCGGGTAATTGTTACCGTTGATTTTAAGCTACCTCTGACAAGCTTGAGTTTCACTTGACGGTAAGTGACTAACCGCCGTCCAACACCAGCAACTGCTGCAACACCAGGGGAAGTGTAAGGTGCGTTGCCGGCCTTTTAAAAAGAGTAGACTCTTTTCTTGAAGGACCTAGTTAAATCATTTTGGGAATGTTCCAATAATGTTAACTTTCAATACTGTTATCCTATACTCGTTGATTCTTTTAACTTTCTTAAATAAATAATTAAGCAATAAATATGTACTTTATTTCATTTTTAAAGAGGGAGAGGGAGGGGAATACGTTAGTGTAATGTTTTAGGTACAAGTGATTAATAGTTAAGTAGTGTCGGTGAGCGGAAATTTGTTACCGTTTACTGTCCACGGTCAGGTTCTGGTGGTCGTGCGAGCAGTACTCGCGCAGCTCGGCGGCGGGCCGCGAGTCGCTTGCGGCGGAGATCTGGGCGCGGCACCTGTGCGACGGTGCGCCCGAGCCCGTCAACGTGGACGCGGCCGCTCGGCGCGCAGCGTCCCAGCGCCTGCAGCACCGCCCACTGCCCGACGACCTGTTCCTGCAGGTACGTCCGCCACACACACACACGTGTGCCGTGCGACTGCTCCACCGCCCACTGCCAGACCTGCAGACACCATACGAAACGGCAGTTTTTTACGCTGCTATTTTAAGTTGGTATTGTGTGAGAGCGTGATCCTCCCCGATCGAGCCAACCCATTCGTGTTGCAACCATAACATCTTGCTTGCAGCGTGGCTCTACCACGTACACCATCTTAGACTTTTGGGGTAAAAACGCATCTCCTCGTTTGTTTGAAGTTGACTGCCGTTGTTCATGTACTACAAAAGCCAACTATCAGGTGGACTGTGTACTTGTTTGTCACCTTTATTCTATAAAAATAATTTGTTGAAGTGTTACAAAAACAAACGCACGTTACAGGTAACGGTAACGATAACTAGCAATGAGCAAGTTTAAAAGCGGCAGGTGGTGTTGTGTTGTGTGCGCAGGCACAGAAGCAGATCTTCAACGTGATGAAGTTCGACAGCTACCCGCGCTTCCTGCGCTCGGGCGTGCACGCCGAGTGCGCGCGCGCCGACCTGCGCGGCCTGCCGCCGCCCTACGGGGCCCCCGCGCCCGCCGCACCCCCCGCCGCAGGGGACGCCACGCCCACCAAGGTACGTCACATCCTTGCAGCTCTGCCAAAGGTGGAACTAACGAATAAGGCAACAATTATTTCTTATGTTTACGCGATCACTATACATTAAATAAAACTTGTTTTTACCCGACTGCAGACACATTAAATGTGCCTATCATACGCTACTTTAAAATCACTAATTCTTAGTGCTTCTTCTGTGTACACTAATCGTTTTAGTTCGGCCCACAAATTAAAGTCTAGAGGTGATAGGTGTGATGATCTCGTCGGCCAGTTCACAGGTCAACCACGACCTATCCACCTATAACCGATTTGGCTCATCATTGGAGTATTAGTACATGTTTACGATACACACGCGGCAACATAAATCAATAAAAATCTATCGAAATTCAAATCATATCCATCCTATTTTACAAACGGCAATAAAGCAATATATTTAATAGGCATCTTTGATCTTGTCACTTCGCAGGGTCACAGGCAAGGGTGGATATGATTTGAATTTCGATAGATTTTAATTTATTTATTTAATTAGTTCAACATTTTTGTTTCTATTTTTTTTCAGACGGTAAAAAATGTCATCCAGTATAGTCGTACATTGTGTATTATTAGTAATTTTCTTACGCAGGCAGGTTTTTTTTAAAAAAATTTAAATTTTATCGCGTTTTATTAACTACCCGTGACCATAAGTGCTGTAAAGTCATATAATTATACTGATTATACTTAACTAACTTAAATACTTTTCGTACCAAAATCGCAACAGTAAGAGCACAGCCATAATACAGTAAATCGACTTACATATTTTGTAACAATTCCTTGTATGACCACTATACGACATTCTTGTGACCTAAATTTTTGTTTGATCAAAACAGCTTAAGAAGTCGGCGTCTAACGCGTCGGAGAGACGCAGAAGCGGCGGAGCATCATTGCTCCCGTGGAAGCTACGTGGCGCTTCACGGGAACGCGCCGCCTCGCAGACCGATCGATCTGAACGATCCGAAAAATCGGATCGAAATGAAAGGACCGAACCGCCACCACTTGCTGACGTGTGTATCATATTTGTATGACTTTCTCAATTATATATATGATATCTTTCCAACCAATCCAAGATTTTTTATCACTAAAATTAATATTTTTTCAATGTTTTGACTGTCTTCTTTATCTCTGTTTTCTTATGTGCATATTAATTAGCACAAATGCGAGTAAGGAAATAAAATAAAGTGTATGTATCTTAGTTTGAAATGTTCAGAGTTCCAAGTGTGTTGGTTTGTTTTTATATCACGTCTTTTGGATAATGATTCTAAAGATTATTATATTTTTCATAATCCATATCTACACTATGAACCATTACGCTTGAATCGCAAAATATTTACGTAGCGAGCTATGATTCCCACAATAATAAGGATGTTATGGAGATTCGATCCTCATCCAAAAGTAATGGATATCTGAAATAAAAGTAAACGGTAATGAATCTGAAATAATTGAGGGAAATATTTTCGTATATAAACGAGTAAAATACCAAAAGCCACTTTGGGCACGGCTTACTCTCGGCGCACCGAAACAGTCATAAGATACAGGATAATTTCTTATTCCTGATAATAAGGTTTAAGAAGATCCATTAACTACCCTAAATCATCCTGTGGCTTGGATCTTGTAAAAAGCGACAGATGGAAAGACACAGGCGATAGAGCCCAGCTTCCTTTTAGTAACTACAGCAGTCAACACCCGTAACCAACTTCAAACAAAATATCAACAAACACATGTCACCTCCAAGAACTACTACAACCTACTGGTTGTGAGGAATATTTCATAGTAGTTCCCCTCTTACCTAAGTATACTTATAAATACACACTCTTACCCAAGTATAATTACTATTATACTTAGGTAAGAGTGTGGTACCAATTTAGACTCTCCTAAAAGGAGTTAGGGTTACTTTACTATAAACGAACAAGAAATCAAGGACAGTTTAATGTTTTCATTCATTAAGGTTTATATTCGAGCTGAAAATTTAATACAAAATTAAAAAATTAAATACAAATGCAAATTTAACATAATATGGATACGGAATCAAAAGAATACTGTTAGTAATGACTTGCACACTATTAATGGAAAATAACGTAGCACAGTGCAAATGTTTGCACTAAAGTGTCAAAGATAAACTTAGTCAACTTACATTTTTATGTCTGCTTCTGAGCATAAAATAATTAAAGAAATGATCAAATTCCTTATTCAAGATGTAATTGTTCGTAAATTGAGTCATATAATGGTTTTTGGTTCCGGGTGAACCTAGTCACTGCACAAACAATTTTAATAATAGCCGCAACATTGATACGTAAAATCTAAAAGTATCTAAAAGTGAATAGGATGCATGTTATAGCTCCAGCTAATCTGTGCCTATCCTTATAGCTCCTCTAACGTTTCCCAAGTTTTACTTACGTTTTAGTATGAACTTGTCTTTAACACGTTGCATCACGAATGACTTGACTTGCCCGGGGCAGAAGCACGCTCCCACAGAATACCATCGCAAAATAACAGCTTAACGTTGTTGTGTTTCGTATGAAGAGAAAAATGTGTAGAGAACCGGAGACCCTTTTTCTTGTTCGTTAATACACTCTGGAAAATACATATAACTTACATTAATGCTTAGATCACCACTTTTCACTATTTACGTCTTAATTCTAGATTTCAAATCTGGAATCTATCGTATAAGGCATACATTACACGCTCATACAGGCTGTCAGTTTTATAACAATCACGGTTGCGATTGACGAATAACCTACCGTGTAATGCAGTGATTGACGCGTGCTTGACCGCATAATGTACGCCTATCAGTCACCACACCATCCGTTTTTTATCAATCATGATTGTTGGAATTGATTGACGCCTGCATGAGGGCGTAATGTACGCCTTAAGACTATATCACTCCGATAATGAAGACGAACTTAATGACAACTCATATGTTAAAATATATTGAGCCGTTTAGGCCACAGAGCGTGCTAAAGAAATAGACATACGAGTACATACATACTCTCGGAAATTATTAACCTCGTTCTGGGGCAGTCGGATAAAGAGATTTGGGCACATCAATGGTTCAATTCACTTATTACTCAGTTATAGTAATTTGAAATAAATTACAATTATTTTCCTTAAAGTCAATATATTAATTAGTCTTTAAAAATGTATACGCACAAACGTTGATAGCAGTAAGCTTGCATATATTATTTACTTTTTATGAAAATATTTTCCGTGTTACAATTTGCAAATAAAATATAATCAAAATATCGCATGTAGTCGCAAATGAGCTTAGAAGGATGCGTACATATTTAATGCAATTATCGCTATCATAGTTGCCGCGAATGGTGTTTAATTATTTTATTTGCGTTATGCTCGGTATATTTATAGATAACTTATTTATAAATTGTATAATTTTATTATATATAATAGTTTTAATATCCCAATGTTGTTTCGTTTTTTTATAAATATTATGTTTTATAAATAGTACCGAGTAGTGGCAGTGTAAGAGTAACTACTACCCCATATCATCCCGTGGATGTCGTAAGAGGTGACAGAGGGAAACTAATAACAACTAAAAATATACTGTGGTTGCCAACCAGCTTGCCAAGCATGGCAACTATGGCAAATATTCCTTATCCGGCAATCTATTGAAGACGCCTATGCTCAGCAATGAACTGCAATAGGTTGTAACGGTAACGGTAGAGAGTACGCCTCAAACATGTTTAGATAAATAATTATAATTAATAAATATTACTATTAAAACTCCCAGGATAGGTCTTCGCCTTACTTAATACCATACTCAAACGAAGTTACTTCAGTTTGCCGCACTTGACGTTTTTATAACATGATCGGTGTTACTTAAATCGCAAAAACTTTTTTAAAGCAAAGGCACATAATAGTTTCTAGTACAAAATACAGAAGGATCACTACTCAAAAACGTTTAAATAAGTTGAGACTTGCTATGACGTAATTAAGTTAATTGAATAAATAAATAGACGAAAGAAATGTTAAATTATAGATAGTTGCGACCCGGGTCGCATCCCGTAAAAACAAAAACTTTTTATTGGAGCATTTCACCAACACTGAACGAATTGAATGTAATTGTAATTGTTGAGTAATTGGCACGGCCCTTACACGTTATATTTTCAATTGATTGTTATTCCGGAATAATGAGTGATTTATGTTATGCAACAATCGCTGAAAAACATTACGTAGCCCAAAAGGCATATTTATGTTTACTATAAGAATCGACGCAATACTTTTATCTTTACTAAAAACAAAGCATTTCTTGCTAGGTGGTGAAAGCTGGCACTCCGGGTGCAAATGCATTATGCCGCGTGGTGTTACCAGATGGCGCCACATCGGTAGTAGGCGTTGAAGAGGGAGTGCCAGTGAGACGGCTAGTCGATAGGTTATTGCAACGTCGAAATTTACCCGTGCTCTCTTATGATGTACTGCTTCGTGATGAAGAGGTAAGTAGCATTTGATGCATTAAATATATTGATCTTTACATATTTTGATGTATACTTCATATTATATGTTGTAAATTTTAAGAGAATTTTAATATTTCTTTTCCGACAATTTTACAAACGTATATGTATATATACTCATAAATCAGTATTTTATGACTTCTAAAGTTGTTGAATTTTATAAATAATCTAACATATTAGATGTTTTTGCGATAAGACATATTATTATGAGTTAGATCATCACTTTTTTAATGTTTCGTTGTAAGTTATATATATTATTAATTTCTCATTTATTTAATAAAAGAAAAAATTTTGTTTTCTTATCGGTCACCACGCTCAAAAAGTGTAACTTGAATTAATATCAAAGAAAAAAACTTGAATTAGTAACAAAGAAAAAAACAAACAAAAAATACTGCATAAAAATATAAATAAATAATTATAATTGCATAAGTTGATAAAAATGCTATTCAATACCTTTACCGTGGCAGTCCCCGAGTGCCACACGTATTTTTATTTGTCAATCAAAAATATTTGAGTTTTGTAAAATGATTTATAAATTTTTTTCCTTGTCTGAGTTAAATTTTATCGTTGAAAATATCCTAACTCGCGTCAATAATGCTGCCAGGCCGATTCATTATGACGTTGTCAAAATTATTTAAGAATGTTCTTTCTAATTCTTCAATATAAGTAATTATTAAACGTTTCTGGTGGGATTTTTAAGCCACCATAAAAAGATGAATCTGTATTATAGGCTTTGAAATGAGTATACAGTGTTGTTTCATCAATATTAGGTTTATCCTGTAACAAAGCATGGAAGCTAGCGTAGTTATGTTTTCTTGTTACGCTTATTATAATAAATACCTTGATACATAAGTCAACGCAAAAATAAGACAATTTTGCATTTGTTTTTTACTTTGACACCCATCCACTACACAATAATTACAAGGTTTCGGCATTTAGACGAGTAAGCGCGGGAAATGTGCGTGGTGCGAGCACTCAGGCGGGCGTACGGCAGCCTACTATCGGGTGTATCGTGGGCGATACGCAGAGCGGTAGGTATATAACGTGTGGCCTAGAGCGAGTGACGGAGGCCTGGCCAGGCTGCGTGTGCTTGTACCATTGACTATTACTATATTACCAGTGCATTTGCTTCCGTATTTTACCATTTTTACTTATCAATTTGTTAGGATTTTACCCGAAATATTTGGTCCTTCGAGCCGAATTTGGACCAGTGTCTGAATGAAAACCATTAAGGGTCAGACTAAAAGCTGTGTACATTGGCGCAGGGCTCGTGGCGAGCCATCGAAGTGGGCGCGTCATCGCTGACGCTGGCTGGGCGTGAGGCGCGCGTGGAGCGGCGCGTGGTGCTGCGGCTGGCGGTGGGCGGCCGCCTGCTGGCCGTGCGCTGCCGCGCCGCGCGCCCACTGCGCCACGTGCTGCGCCCCGTGCTGCGGCGCCGCGCGCCCGCCGCCGTGCTGCGAGCCGGCCGCCCGCTGCACCCCGACACGCCCGCGCACGTAAGTACACACGCACACACATACGAACATTACTTCATTCAACAAGCTTACTTATACACTTACACAACCAACACTCACTCATACTCATACACGCTCAATCACACATACTCACACACGCTCACCAACACACCCTCGCACACGCTCATATTCACAAACAACACGGACACTTACACGTTTACATACACACTCTCACACATGCGCTCACTCGCACGACCTACCCACTCACGTATGGCACCTCTACTCTCTTGAACGTAATCTTTACAGCCATATTCTTACTATACCATAGGGAAATAATCCTAAAAACATCCTTTTTACCATGCTTCAAATTCTTTCACTACATTTTAAGGTCTTTTAATTTCTTTTTATTGGTTTTTATTTTTGTGATCTCCTTTTTCTAAGTCTTGTTCAATAGCCTATTTTTTTTTCATAATGTTCTAATCTGGTGGTAGACTTTACTGGTTAGTACTTATCTTAAATTTTCGTTTTTTATCTTAAATTTTGTTGATCGCAGGAATTAGACGGAGCTCTACTGGAGATCGTGGAGTTGTGTGATGGTGCAGAGGCAGTGGAGGTCAGAGATGATGACGCAGACTCCCTTTCCGACCTCGCCGTGAGATTGCAGGATGACAGTGAACAGCTGGTATGTTATTATTAATCCTGTTTATCAATAGCTTGACAGTAAGATTTGCATAAAAATATTTTAAATTATTCTTTTTTTAGTAATGGACTCGTACGGCTGTACTTTTGCTAATGTCAAGTATTACGAAATTATCCTATAAAATAATTTGTTTAAAAACTTGCTCACAATATGTTGATGAAAACTTCTCTACGTGATGCATGTTGCGAAGTTTATGGGAGAATTTAACCGCAGCTTGAGTCAGCTGACAGTGGATGTCGATAATATCTCAAGGTGTCTAAAACAGACACAATCTCATGTTCATACCGTAAGATTTTTTATGTGCGCAGACATTTAATATACAAAATTGCATCATTTTTACTTATCAGAATCCACTTGAAGTCATTATTTGAACCATATTACAGGAGCAATAATCCGTCGGCTGCAAGTATCCGCCAAAAATTAAAACATAACATTTTTGTATTCATATGTGTAATAAATAATCAACTTTGATAATTTTTTAAAAGAAATATGAATCTACTTTAACCGTGGAGCCCTGTTGAAATATGCATCTTAAATTCAAAAAAATTATACGATCACTTTTATTTCCACAGAGCGTGTCGTGTCGCAACGGCAGCGAGTGCGGCAGTGTGGCGGGGGTCGGCAGCGGCGCGGGCAGCAACAGCAGCGTGAGCACGGCGAGCAGCGGCAGCGCGGGGGCTGCAGGGGCTCCCGCGGGAGGCGCGGCGGGGGGCGCGGGGGAGCGAGGCGGGGCGGGTGCGCGCTGCGCTGCGTGCGGGTCCGCCGCTGCACCACCACCCCCCGGGTCAGTGCACCTACCCCAACACCTCTGACGTGCTCTTGCACATAATGCAGCTGTGTTACCTTTTATGGCCGATTCATATAATCAAGAAACGTTTCGTGCTCCATAACAATCCGATGTATTGCATACGAGTACGAGTTTGCACTTTGTGCAAATAAATAAATAATATAAGAATACACATAAATTACACGCATTTATTATAAGCTGTGACAAGCCAAACAATTATTCTATTTACCTTGCTGATTCTGATCAGGATAATAAAATAAAGTTATTTAAGGACAATGGCGAAATAATAGTTGATGAAATTATTAACCGTCTACTTGTCATCATTACAAATATCAATAAAATAATTTACTATGTATTATCTAATCAAGCTTATGGCCTATCGAAGTCTGGAAAACATCATATTACACAATTCAAAACTTAATTGACTAGTTGTTGTAGTTGTTACGATTCGTCAGTTAAGACAGGCAAAGATCTTATACCATACAGCCGTTTGGTATAAGATCTTTGACTTTGAGTTTGACTTGTATTTTATTCAGAAAACTCTTCTATATATACTAATGCGTTCGTTAAGTATTCCCTCTATGCTAGTAATTACCCTATATAAATATATATGAAAATTATATTGACTAGTTGTTGTTCTAACGATTTGCCAATTAAGGCATGTTAGACCATACAGCCTAGTCTGATGTGTATTTTGTTTAAACTGTAATACCTTTAACTCCTAACTTCCTGCAGTAGTATGACCGAAGAAAGAAATGTTCAGTATTTTAAACTCTACATTTTAAAATATTTTTATTAAATATTTGTAGACGCAAGAAAAAAAAAGTCTACTAGAATTTGTTTGGGAGTTCACCATTGAAATTAAATACAAATCAAAATGTTTGTTTTTATTTTTTTATAAAATAGGCCATAGGCTTCTACTCTGTTCACATGTCACACCCAATTTTTTACAGACACTAAAAAAGGTCTTCAAATCAAATCAGTTTATTTTGTGAACACAGGTTATTTTACAGATCTCAATATATGCATAGTAAAATACAAGGTAGGTTCTCTATGTCCCGCCAGTAGGCATACAAAATATAAAATAATAATTGCTTAACATTTTTTTTTCTCTTCTGATGTCAGTTTCTAATTGAAATCCTATACCTTTAAACGAGCAATTCTTGTATATATATAATCGGAATCTCGGAAACTTCAACGATATACATAAAATTATGTGTGCAGGGAGTTTCGAGGGCAATAAATCGATCTAGCTAGGATTTATTTTATGAAAATGTTTTGAAATGTATTTTTAGAAAGTGTTTAAAAAAAAGTTTTTGTCCGTGTTTTTAGTCAGTGAAAAACTGCTACAATATCGTTAGAATAAGAAGGCAAATTTTGACAGTTTGTTAATGGTTACAAGTAGCTTAATTGATATATTGTGCGGTCACAAAATCGTAATACCATGGTTCGAGCCCAGACTGACCGACCGACTTTTTTATTTTATTTTCAAGTTCCTTTCTTTTTTTGAGAAAATCTATTTTTTTCGTGCCCTTTTTTTTTAGTATTTTTTAAAAACACGAAAATTTAAATTAAACTAATTGCACTCATGATTTTTTATTCAAATAACCAGTTCTGTTTTTTCTATTATGTCGCTACGATCAAAAATATTATTCGTATTTCATCAGTATGTAATTTATATCTAAATATAATTTCCAAAACACATGAATTAACAAAAAACCGAGCGAAAATACCGAGCAAAGCTCGGTCAACCGGGTACTAATTAAATAATGTATTAATAATAAGAAAATTTTAAAGATAATAAAGGTATAGTATAATAATTGTCATCATTTTGTCTAATTGTCATCTAGTATTAATTGGCACATATCATGATAGGTATATATTCAATGTAGTATTTTAATGTTAAAATGTGTCATTAAGGAATTCATCTAAAGAATAATATGCTTTTTCATTTAGCAGATCAAAAAGTTTACGTTTATAAATATTAATGTTGTCACAGTCTCTAATGTACTTAGGTATTTTGTTATACAGTGTGTCCGGTTACCGGTGTCGGAGCTTTTAATGCTATAAAATATAATCAATTTCATCGACAAATCATGTCTCAAATCTCATTTAGACCTAGCTGTATTTAAATGGCAGCCATTTAAATTTTTAGTGTCACTACTTCGACCCCGCGCATTAAAATTACAATATTCACCGATGTAGAAGTCCTACATTCTTAAAAGATGTCTCATTGGATAGATAAAGATACGCGTAATAAAATAAAAGCAAACTTTAACTGCAAAATTGTATTTAGATCCTAAAAAAACTTAGAAAAGAATAAAAATTTAAAAAAAATCGGTTATTTTTTCACATTTTCGACTTTAATGAAAAAAGTAAGTCATTTACCTAATGATTTTTTACAATTTTACATTAATCAGATAGATCAGAACATTTCCTAACCAAAAACATAAAAATCTTAATTGTAACCAAAAAAAAAAAAGTCAGTATTATAACGTTTGAGTCATATTCAATTTTTTTTTTGAATATGACTCAAACGTCTTTGAACAATTTGTCGCCCTGGTTGCAGACAGACAAAGTGAACTGATGGGAAGAGTGAAACACAACATTTCAAAATGCACGTAACTAAAAAGTTATTTATAAAAACTGTTCGAAATGACCTCCGCGATGTTGGAGACATGTTGTAGCCCTTATTGCCACATGTTGAGTTGCACGACTGATCATCTCCCCACCTTGTCGCAATTCATTTCCAACTTCGATTATTTTATTAATCAACTTTTCTCGTGAGTTTGGCACGTTCGCATAAAATCTTTGCTTCGTAGTGCCCCATAGAAAAAAGTCTAAGGGAGTTAAATCTGGTGAACTCGGAGGCCAAGCGATCCTTCCACCGCGACCAATCCACGGCGAATAGCGCTCATTTAAATAATTTCGCACATTTACTGCAAAAGGTGCAGGTGCACCGTCAAGTTGGAGAATCATCCTTGCTCTGTGAGTTAGTGGAAGCTCCATTAATTCTTCCAAAAACTGTGTTTGCAAAAACTCTAAAAATCTTGGGCCATTCATAGTTTCTGGTAAAATTATCGGCCCAATTAAAATATCGTATTTTATTCCAGCCCAAACGTTCACTCGAATTTCATGTTGGAAAGTACTTTCTCTAACAGCATGAGAGTTCTTTTGAGGGTTGCTTGTTGTCGTGATTTGTATAACCCGATCTCGTGAAAGTGGCTTCGTCAGTCCACAAAATTCTTTTTAAAAAATCTGCATCTTGTCTTGTTCTTCTATTGATCCACAAACAAAAAATAATATAACTGTATATAACTGCCCTTATAGCATAATCAGGTTCGCGAATGTCTTGTACCCGCCGAAAATGGTAAGGATGCAAACCTTCCCTCTTTAAAACTCTCCACACTGACCATTTTGTTAAATTAAGCATATTGCTTATTCGTCTATACACCGAGTCTGGGATCTTGTGTCATTAAACGTAATTTCTCTTCTTCCTCCTCAGGTGCCACAAGCCGAAATCTTTCAATAGCGGGATTTCTGATCCCAAGTTCAGCTATCCGCAAATGTATCCTTACAAAAGTGCGAGCATTTGGTGTAGGCCTGTTGGGAAACATTCTGGCGTACTCTGTGACAGCTCTGTTGGCGTTGCCGTTGCACAATCCATACACAAAGTGGATATCAGCGACATGCTGGTTTAAGTATTTACCATCTGCCATTTTTGAAAATATCAAAATAACCAGAAACTTCACCACAAACTTAAAAAGTTCCACAAAACGGAATTTTTTTTAACAATAATAACAACAAGCGATCTTAGAGGGGCAAAAGTAGTATAATCACAAAGCGTGGCGAGGGACGACTGTTTTTGTTGTCCCAAGTACACTTGTTTAGAACATCAAACAATGGGCTTAGGGTTTTTCTACCTGCTCTTGAACTATCCATAAATGATCCTGCACGTGCAGCTTGCTCTTTTAAGAGCTCGTGTTTGATAAAGTACAATTCTTAGGCTATTTAATTTACAAATAAGATTTTTATGTTTTTGGTTAGGATATGTTCTGATCTATCTGATTAATGTAAAAAATCATTAGGTAAATGACTTACTTTTTTTCATTAAAGTCGAAAATGTGATTAAATAACCGATTTTTTTTAACATTTTTTTTTCTTTTCTAAGTCTTTTTAGGATCTAAATACAATTTTGCAGTTAAACTTTGCTTTTATTTTATTACGCCTATCTTTATCTATCCAATGAGACATCTTTTAAGAATGTAGGACTTCTACATCGGTGAACTGCCATTTAAATACAGCTAGGTCTAAATGAGATTTGAGACATGATTTGTCGATGAAATTGATTATATTTTATAGCATTAAAAGCTCCGACACCGGTAACCGGACACACTACTTTTGGTGCCATTGCATATATACTTCTGTAATAAAACAGTTCTACTTGGTACTAAATGAAGCTTATCTGAGCGACGTTGGTCATCCAATATAGGGTACATATTTTTTAAACGTAGCGTCAATTACCTATTTAATTACACTAAAGTGAGCGTGATTTTAATTTTAGTAATGTTGATTATTGCAGAGTTCCTGGAGAGCCTGCGCGAGAAGCAGCGTCAGCGCCACGCGCCGCGCACGCCGCCGCCGCTGCCGCCCAAGCCGGCTCCCCGCGCTGCGCCCACCCTCGTCTGAGTAAAACGAACCTTGCGCTATTGGAATACAGCTCAAAATCGAATCACAGCCATCGGGGACATAAGACCTTACAGCTGTTCTCTGTTGCCCGTTGCTATAAAGTTCAATATTCGGTACGAGTTGGTGGTGTTAACGCGGATCGGGGTGTAATGTCACTTCAATGTGTAAATGACAAGTGAAAATGAACCATACGACCGAGAACATAAGATTGAAATTTGTTAATAACATACTACGTGTACATCTTTAAGATATTATGGACAATGAGGAAGTCGATTTTACTTAAAAATTTATCTCTAAGACAAAGTTTACTATCAACTGTGCTATTTCAATTTAAAATTATATGAACTTAAGATTAATACAATTGAAATAAAGATTTAAAAAATATTCTTATAGAAAAAATATATTTTTAAAATTGAATATAATTTTCAAGGTGTTCAAAGTTAAATGGATCTTATGGTAGTTATTCTAGATACATATAAATAGCTGGGAACAAATAGCTATCATCTTGTAAATAATCTCATATTACTATAAGTTTATTATAGGCATTCCATTATGTTTGTTTTGTTAGAAATTGTTGAGTGAGATTTAGTAAGTATAAAGATACTTTTAAGAAGGTTTATTTTTATAAAATTTTCATTATGTAGTTTTCGTTAATACACTTTGCTATTTACAAAAAGAGGTATGGAAGTTTTTTGGAATTAAAAACAAAAATAACTTTTTTTAAGTTGAGTCAATAAATTTTATATTCACAAATATATAAATTATATTAAATTGTTGATTTTGCCATATTCAATAATAATATTTTAGAACTCTTTTACACCGTTCTATAAAATCTTTGTTTGGGTGACGACGTAAAATGTAGGTCCATTGTTTTTATAAAGTAACTGTTAACCTGAGCATTAATGATAAAAAATCTCAGTTCACCAACCTTAATTTAGCTACAATACAGGGATTGAAAATCGGCTGTAATAAATTTGATTAGGGTTGTCAAAATCTCGATTTCATATTAAGATTTTTTAGATTTTCGAAAGTGAAAGTCTTCGTGACGTTGTAGTTTACCTTATGCCTTACTGTTACAGTATCTTAATAGTCCGCTGCCACGCTTTGTTGTGTTGGCAGCCGCAGTTTTTTATATTATAGTTGTTATTGAGAAGACTCTGTTACGCTGCTGGATTGTTTCCTTCTGGCGCCTCTTACGACACCCATACAACTATATATGTGACAGCTAGTGGATATTCTCACATCGCCATTATACGGTAAACCTTGGTAACGATAATATCGCCTGGGTTCCGAAATAGAACCCCGTATACTGGCCAGTGCAAATGACTTCACAAATCGACGCTATACTGGTGAGTAGTTTCAAAACATTGGCCGTTATATGACATCATACATGCTCTTGACTACTCTTTCCTCAGTAACAAAGAATGAGTATGATTTCTCATTCTCTTCATCGTACAGATATAACTGTTTTTTTGTATTTGAATAAATAAAAACAAATTCTGGCATGCTTCATTCAGCGCACACATAATTAAAAATTGTTTTAATATGGCCGGATATCCGACACAAAATGTCGGCGACACGCCAGTACAATATGGCGTCAATTAATGACGTCATTTGCATTCGCCTGTGTACTGGTTTTTTTTTTACACACCAGTATACTGGTTTTTTTTCACATTTCGGAACACAGGCATCATTGTTTGACTATCGCTCCTTTTATTCATCAAATTAGATCTTGTTTTGCTCGTGTCAAGAGCCGTGGTAGCTCAGTGGTTAATGCTCGCTGTAAATATAACAGAACGCGAGTAACCCGGGTTCGATCCCCGCCGGCACCAATGAAATTGTTAATTGCAATTTTAAGTGCTGATTTACCACGTGCTCGGCGGTGAAGGAAAAACATCGTGAGGAAACCTGCACGTCTGAGGAATAAGAAAAAAAAATATTTCGAAGACATGTGAAGTTCGCCAACACGCATTATGGCAACGCGGCGGACACTTGCCCTAAAAACCCTCTCAGAAATGAGGGGAGGCCTGTGCCCAGCAGTGGGACGTATATAGGCTGTAATTTTACTTACTTTACTTTTGCTCGTGTACCAGTAAATTAAAGATGCCTGACAGTTCTCATTTAGGTTTATATTTTAGTTCTGTACTTAGTATAAAACTCCTAAATACAGGCGTTTTTGGGAACTTTTTAATTCCTGTCAGAATATGATGAACTTAAATTGTCTCCCTTTTCATCAGATGATTATGTGTCTTACAGTAGGATTTATTATATATTTAGATATATAATGTAAGCATTTTAGATCCGGATTTTTATAAATATCATTCATAATCATTCAAACAATCTCATTGTTAAAACTGGCCACGGAACACTTGTTTCTTAGATGATTTTATATATAAAATGTCAGTTTAAATCTCAACAGACTGTACAGGCGTATGTTATTCAAAGGAAATATGTGTAAAAAGCTATTTTATGAATAGGATAGCACGTTAAGAGACAAAAGAATTTTCTATTTGTGCCTTTAAAATGTGAATTTGTTGTTATAATAAATAAAAGGAAATGTTTTAAAACTATTCCAATGTTTAAAAAAATATCATTTCCGTATGTATATATTTATAGGACAGCATTTTACTGCACACGTTACAGCATTTAAAGTAAAAAATATCTCTAATGAATTGTTCATTAATATAATTTAATTTATTGTAACTAAGTATAGGAAAATAATATGAGAGATGGAGCTCGGAGAGCCGATAATATTGCAATAAAATAGTGTTATATTTGTATTCTTTTATTTAAAAAGCTGCCCCCGCTTCTGATTTTGGTGGTATACCCAGACAGTATAATTAGTGTTGCCCAAAATCGGTCTTGGTCTTGTGGTCTTGTTCTTGCATTTTTGCAAGACCAAGATCAAGAACAAGACCGCCTAATTTTAGCAAGACCAAGACCAAGACTGACCGTGAAAGATTTGAGCAAGAACAAGACTAAGCCTGCGAGACTCTTGCGTCTTGCAGTTAGGAATGAGTGTCGTTTCAGGGAGTATAGGAGTTCGGGTATACGCTTAGGGACTCTATGAGACGCAAAAAATATATAAAAAAATTTGGAAAATTGGACTTATGCGCATTACGAACAATACCATAAACATACATAGCGGATGAAAATATCCATTAAAAGAAAAAACAGCGCATCCCTAGTTTTGACCATCGGCACTTTGATAGTGCGCGGCGTCTTGTTGTCGGCATCATCAAAGGTAGAATGCTGAACTGTCAAAGAAATTTTGCAGCTATTCGGAAGTACAAGGTCAAGATACACGCGCCGGCGGTTTCTATTGATATCTCATTCAATCGTCGTCGCCGCCGCGCCGCACGCACTACATTTGACACTGTTTGAATGCCGCCACAGAGTACATGTACCAAAGAATAAAATAAGTTTCTGGGTGCTCAGAATGGACACGAATACATTATGCTGATCTCGCAAGGAATATTGTAATTAGATAATGGTAAGGATAGGTAGATACCATAATAATTTATTCTAGTAAGTAGTTGTTATAATATTAACTATATGGGTTTATAATAACTACTTACTATTGTTATTATTACCTAATAGATAAACATGTTCAATAAGTTCACTGCAAATCTCGATTTTTGGGAGTGTGTGTTTTTGAACACAAAGTGTTCGAATATGTCGTCACCCATTTGATAAATATTGTAGACACTTTTAACACGCTTGAAACGTGTAAACATTTTGTACAATGCTAATCGAATAATATAAAAAGTGTGCATATTAAATAAAAAGCGTAAAATAAGATCTGTGTACTTTTTAGGAGCCCGAGTATCTCTTAGATATTAGTATATAGTAATTGATTGCATCGAATTGATGTAAATAATAGTGATTTGCACAATTTTAATAGTAGAAATAAAAATATAATCACAATACCCGCTTTCCGGTTACACAAAGTATATATAATGCGTTCTTGGGTAGCGATATACGCTTTTATAATGAGATTCCAAAAGAAATGTTAGATCTTTCACCTTTTCAATTTAAGTCAGACAAAAATGCTTGGAACTGACCTCTCGTACTACACAGGACTAACTAGAAATTTCTAAACCGATTTGGTATCTACATATACATTTGACATTTTATGTTTGACTTATCGCTTTACATAATTATAGAACTATTGTAAAAATATTTTGAAAAGAGCAACTACTGAGTTTCTTACTTTCTTCCATGATTCTTCTCAGTAGAATCAGAACCCCTGGACATGGAAAAGAAAAAATTGGGGAAAACAGTGATCATATGACTAATCAAAAGTGTATTTTTAATGCCTACTTGAATAAAACATATTTGAATTTTGAATTTCAAACGAGTGAAGGCAAATTTAATTTCATTAACGTAGATTAATTCAATCACAAGAAGAACATAATATACACAATTTTATTTACATATTTACATTTCATTTTTACGTAGGCACACTATACCTATCTGGCAACGCATCTACTTTATTAATCTTCTGAAGAATCATTAATTTTATCAAAGGATGCCGAACTTTCCTTTGTCGGACTTTCGGCGTATACTTACAAATAGTAGTATTTATTTTAATTCCAGTCATTCCCAATTGAGCTTTGCTTCGAGTCTAATGTTTTTTTTTTGCGCCCGAAGCAATTAAAGGGCTACCCTATACGTAGGGAGGCGGAAAATGCATTACGCATACCACGATAGCCGGTCTATCGTGGTTATGAGGGGCTCACTGTCCTACCGGGGACCCTAAGTGATACCCTCTAAAAACCGCCTTTGGGGACAGGCAGCCGGCTGATCAAGCTGTATTGTGCCTTATCATGAGCGACCCTCTTTTGAGAAAAGAGGGCGCAGGAGTCTAATGTATTAATTGCTTTTACTCTAATCCTTGTTGTGCTCGGAGTGATAAGTTTACAATTTGACATGAGTGACGAAAAGTCGAATAGTTCTAGTCGGAGTAGTGAGAGTTGGAGTTATAGATCTAAAAGACCTAAAAGTAAATTTGATGAGTTTTTCGACATAATTCATGCATCCCAAATTGCTTTGTGTAAATTATGCCAACATAAAAAGGTTGAAATAAAAATGAAAAACTGAAACACTTAAAAACAGGCTTAAGAAAGCATCTAATATCTTTCCACAAAAGGAATCACAAATATTTCTTCCTGAAAAA